TGATTGGCGACAGTGGTTACAGTTTTGTATTGTGTATACAATACAAAAATACATTACGTATTTGTGTTTTTTGTTTTGTATTGTGTATACAATACAAAAAATACATTATGAGAAGGTACATCAGTGTTTTGTTGGAAAACTATATTTCTCATTGTACATGCTAGGGAATTGTGTTTGCTTTCATACATTTTTATATTTTACATCTTATAAGATTCTATTACAATTAATTTTTGATTTTTATTATATATGTTAATATCTTGGTATGACGTTGATGTTACATTGTTTGAAATATTTGTTGTTTATTTTGGGACATGCCACTAGTATGTATTATTTAATTTGTCATTGTACCTTTAATATTGTGTATTTATATTTTCTATGCCTGGGCTTGCCCATCTTAGTTTTCTTTAATGTATAATCTCATTGGTGCTTGCCAACACTCTGATATGCCTTATCATCTATTGTCGTTGGTTCTTTTGTTTATCAATCTGATGTGTTGTTGGTTTCTCCGGTTATCTTGAGGTTATCTTGAGATGATTTCGGGGCTTTTTAGTGTCCCCGCGGCCCGGTCCTCGACCAGGCCTCCACCCCCAGGAAGCAGCCCGTGACAGCTGACTAACACCCAGGTACCTATTTTACTGCTAGGTAACAGGGGCATAGGGTGAAAGAAACTCTGCCCATTGTTTCTCGCTGGCACCTGGGATCGAACCCAGGACCACAGGATCACAAATCCAGTGTGCTGTCCGCTCGGCCGACCGGCTCCGGTGCTGCCATCTAGTGGCAGAAAATAACACTGTCAATAGGCCAACAGCAGCCGATATAGCGGGTTGTGGTGCTGAAGGTCGCTTTCCCGCGCTCGCATGTCATTGGTAGAAACCCCAATGTTGACATTCACCTCAACAACCAATCACAGGAAAGGATCTGCTTGAAACTCCACTCACTTAACTTTTATGCTTACCACTAATCCTGCAAAAAAAAAAAAAGCCTGCTGTTTAAACTCTGATCAAACCCAAAAGTTATTTTTTTTAGTCAACTAAAGATTTAAATAATTGGATAATTTATTATTTGATATAACAATTGTTATAATAAAATATTTGTTTTTTCTGACTTGTGACGTCATCAGTGGGTGGATCTTCTATGAGGCAAACATCATTGATGCTACGATGCTGCTGCCCTCCTTGTACTTAGTGTTAAATTCTACCACTAGATGGAACCTCTTGTCAAGTAGCGAGGCAAATCTATCTATCTATCTATATATATATATATATATATATATATATATATATATATATATATATATATATATATATATATATATATATTATATATATATATATATATATATATATATATGACATATATATATATATATATCCATCTATATGGTAAGCCTGAATGGTCCCAGGACTATATGCGAATGAATATACCCCTTACTCAAACCCCTTCTGGGGTGTGAGTTTCAATACATATATATATATATATATATATATATAATATATATATATATATATATATATATATATATATATATATATATATATATATATGTTTATATATATATATATATATATATATATATATATATATATATATATATATATATATATATATATATATGTATTTACATTATTGTAATAATAATAAAATTGTATACAACTTTTTTTTTATTTTCAATTTTATTTCATGCAATTCTTGCACAAAAATACATATCTGTTAATAATAATATTTGTAATTAATTAGCATTAAATTAAAAAAAAATTCTTAGTATTATTTCCGTAAACACAATTCTTTGTAATTTTGGACTTGCAACCAGTGCTTATACATTCCTGTTAGGTGCTTATACATTCCTGTTAGGTGCTTATACATTCCTGTTAGGTGCTTATACATTCCTGTTAGGCTAATATATCGAGGTACTCCACTCCCCCTCCCCCTCCCCCCCCCCAAAGTCGAAATTACTGAACCACTGACCTAAACTGACTAACTCCTGTGTACCTATTTATTGCTGGGTGAACAGCGACATTAGGTGACAAGAAATGCGCACAACATTGCCACTATTTTTTTTTTTACCATAATCTCCGCCAGACGAACATCGTGTTTTTCAAATAATTTAATTTGTAAAAGTTTTATATCGACGATGTTAATAATAAATAAGGAATGTTGTTAATTTAATTGCTAATTAAAAACATATTAGCATTAATGGATTTATGCAAAATATTTTTTTTACTGGAAGTAACAGTTAAATATATAAAATTAAAATACTACAGAAGGTGTACTAAGTTTTACTGTCATTAAAGTGATGAAAAAAATATGTAGATTTGTGGGCGTGTATATTTGACAACATGCGCCATCTAGTAGCAGAATTTGACACTAAGTAATAACATTCACTTCACCCAAGTGCTATATAGTCGTGTTGGCTTTTGCGCTTTCCTCTGATAATCACTTCCTTCCCTCCTTACACTACATCTTATTTTCGTGAAGCTAATATATGTATGTCGTCTATATGACTGGTTTAAAAATAATTTACATCCATATTTGGCGATGAATTGAGTACTAGTGCCATCTAGGGGCAGAAAAGAACACTATCAACAGGGCTAACAGTAGCCAATAAGGCGGGTTGTTTCACTGGAGGTCGTTTTCCCGCGCTCGCACTTCATTGGTTAAAACTGAGTTGACATTTATCACAACAACCAATCAGAGGAGAGGGATCAGCTGAACGCTCCGCCCACCTGGCTGTTCAGCTCATCACTCTTTATGACTTGCTACTTTGAATTGGATCTTTCCTAAATGGGATTTTTTCAGCCAACCGAACTCTCTATATTTAGCAGAAAATAATAGGATATGTATATGACTGTAGAAGAAACTCATTTTGAACATTTTAGTATGTATTAATACAAAAATGCATATTTATATATAAATTTTCATTATGAATAAAAACTTTTGTAACAGCTTATATTTATTTATATCACTCATATAATTAAGTCATTCGTTAATTGATGATAACATTGCATTTACTGAACGTGAATTGTTTACGTTCATAATACACTCTACAATACATAATACAATGTCACAATACAATGTTCATAATACAATGTCAGCGCTCATGATTTATTATTCAATTCGCCGAAGTGTTATTATAAAGAGTATTTACATTTAAGGAGAATAGTTGTTGGAATTAAATGCTAATTAGAAAAATGGCATTATCAGAGGTATATGTTGAACATAAATTACAAGTATTGCACAAAATAAACATTTGTGTAAAACTTTATCCAAAATTTAATTTTTCCATAACATTTTATCTCCCAATTTAAAAATATCATATAGTTGAAAATTTCCTATTTTAAATATAAATTGTAGTTGTAACAGCAAATCATAAACAGGAATAGTGTTTTGAACACCAAGTTTAGTGGGCGGAGGAAGCAGGCAGGTTCCTTCCTGTGATTGGCTCTTGGGGTGAATATCAACAAACAGTTTCTACCAATCAAATGCGAGCGCGGGAACTCACTCAGTCTTCAGGACAACTCACCTTGTGGGCTGCTGTTGGCCTCCTGACAGTGTCCTCTTCTGCCGCTAGGTGACACCAGCAGCAGGTATTACACAGTTCAGCATCACCTAATTCGCCTTAAACATAGATATACAAGTATTGTGAAATCCGTCACATAAATTAAATTCTTATTTAAGCTTTACGCCATAAGATGAGTGAAGGAGTGACCGTCTTAGTAGCAAGTAGTGTCAAGCAATAGAATAGGAACTGCAGTTGTCGTAACCTATTATCAAATTTCCCTGTCGGACTGGACGGTAGAACGACAGTCTCGCTTCTTGCAGGTCGGCGTTCAATCCCGGACCGTCCAAGTGGTTGGGCACCATTCCTGTCGTTCGTCCAATCCCAAATCCTTATCTCATTCAGGTGACGTAATGTCCTGATAATTACCATTATATAGACCTGTCGTTTTTATCCGTGTCATCGAGCGTCTTCCTAATTTCCTTGTCAACCAGCAACATAAGGGGCATATATATGTGTATGTATATATATATATATATATATATATATATATATATATATATATATATATATATATATATATATATATATATATATATATATATATATATATATATAACCTAAGCTTGGAATAATACAGTGATCCCGCGTCAATTATATTATTGATAAGTTATTCCATAAAGGAACAATCCTGTTTCCAAACCAGTATTTACAATGGACTTTCCTGAATTCGCTCTTCTTCAATTTATATCCATTGTTTTTGTGTTCTATGTTCTATATTTGATGTATGTGATATAGAGTATTCTATATGTAAAGTATATATTGTATGCTGATATATTTAAATCTATTTTTATATCTTTTTTGTTATGTCTTTTTATATATTTATATGGTTCAATCATGTCACCTTTTATTCCTAGTCTTTCTAAAGCATGTAAGTGAAGCCTTTTTGAATCTATCAATGACTCCAGGGTGGTAAGTTTATCATCTTTCTCTGTACATGTTCTCCTCCCTCCTCCACCCACTCTTATCTATCTTTTCCTATCTCCTCTCTCTCTCCCTTCCCCCTCTCCTTCGCTATCCAGTTATTTCCCCTCTCTCTCTCTCTCTCTCTCTCTCTCTCTCTCTCTCTCTCTCTCTCTCTCTCTCTCTCTCTCTCTCTCTCTCTCTCTCTCTCTCTCTCTCTCTCTCTCTCTCTCTCTCTCTCTTCTTCTCTTCCCCTTTGATGACCAAACCATACACTAGAATATGAAGAGATGACGATGTTTCGGTCCGTCATGGACCATTATCAAGTCGATTGTCTCTTCCCTTCCTTTTCTCACTGTTCTCCCTCTCCACCTGTTTATCTCCCCTTCTCCTTCCCTACCTCTGTGTCTTTCTCGTGTCTGCCTCTGTGAGTCTGTCTCTCTGGTCTGGCTCTGTTTTTTTTCTGCATCTCTTTCACTATATCAATGCGTTCGAATTTATTACATATAACAGATGCAGAAGAGGTGACTGAGACCTAAAGGGGCCAAAAATCCTGTTATATTCTTACCGAGATTGTTTTGGTGTTCTCGCCTGGCAGGTACGGCGACATGGTGCCCCACACGCCCACGGGGAAGATCGTTGGAGGCGTGTGCTCGCTCTCCGGGGTGCTGGTCATCGCGCTCCCCGTCCCTGTGATCGTGTCCAACTTCTCCAGAATTTACCACCAGAACCAACGGGCGGATAAGAGGAAAGCCCAGAAGGTAAATATATTACGAACAGGTGGTGTGATGTGTGTTGGAGGGGGGGGGGGGGGGGAGAGGGATTCTTAGCTTCACTGATGTTCTTATTTGTTCTTAGGTGGTCTGCCAGTGTGTTGAAAGGTCTTCTGGGTGTGTTCTTCATCTTGAGTCTGTCTTTTTGAATTCCTCCTAGCGGCAAAAAGGGTTAATCTTCGTTTTGACATCTGTGTCAAGTCGTAGATTAGCTGTGTCAGTGACTCAGATTTAGATTAGCTGACGTCAGCTGTGTCAGCGACTCGGCTGATGTCAGCACGCTACTCCCCTTTGAGTCAGCTCGTTCTTCCACTCCTCAAGCCCTCACTTGAGTGCTGAATAACTCGCCACGCTATATATTTATATATATATATATATATATATATATATATATATATATATATATATATATATATATATATATATATATATATATATATAATATATATATATATATATATATATATATATATATATATATATATATATCTATATATATATATATATATATATATATATATATATATATATATATATATATATATATATTATATATAACTAACCTAACCTTATATGATATATAGGTTAGGTAGGGTATCATATATCTACGTTAATTTAACTCCATAAAGCACAGATCCCTAACCCCTGTCTATATATGACAAACGAGCGGGTACATATGCTGGTTAGCATATATATACATATACATATATATATATACGTTCTCGTATACATTTGCTAACCAGCATATATAAAAGTGCATTGTAAAAGGACTAGAGTGACCTGTAGTTGTGTGGTCAATAGCTCACTGGACTATATGTCGTCTGACAGACTTCTAACGTTTGTGTTCTGAACAGCATTGTATAGATGAATGGTCATGCTTATGGAAGATAAAACACACATAAAGATCTCGTTCCATTCTGAGTCAGCTGGCTCTAGGTGGCGCCAGCCTGGCCTCCTAACAGAACGTCGCATTTCGACGTATACTCTACCTATGGCCAAAAAATCGTCGTACTAGAAAATGGAGGCGGCTGGCGAAATTGATATACTGTCCCGGTTTCTGTTTTGGGTCCTCTGGTGGGTTAGGATAAGAGGCCCCTTTAGTACGTCGGTTTCTTGACGTTGGGAAACCTTAGGAGGACGGGCTGCTGGTACACGACGCACCCTCGTGCCATACTGAGTCATGGTACGATTCATTCGGTCTCAGGTCCCAGTTAACCACGACTCTTAAATCACTCTCACAATGCGACCTATCCATTCCTCTGTTATTCATGCTCTATTCATCATCGCTGTCTTTCCCTAGGTCAAAAAAATTTGCATTTATCAACCTTAAACTTCATTATCCGTTTTTGCTTGCCTTGCTCTGGAGTTCCTTGAAATGCCTCGTCAGTCCGTCAGAGTCCTCCTGTGAACTCGCTACACGCTCAATCTTTGCATCGTCCGTAAGCTTGCTGGCTGTAGTACAAACCCACCAAACACACACCGAAACTACGACGTTGGTACAACGTTCGAGCAAGTTTTAACACCTCCTAACCAGTTATAACAACCAATATAGCAAATTGTAACAACGTTCTAATACGTCATAAACACGTTAAGCCAAGATGTAACAACTTTATTACAAGTTGTAACAAGCGGAAAATAGAGACAGTTTCGGTTTGTGTTTCCAGGGAAGGTCGTTGTTGAAAATTAGGTACAGTCGTGGCTGCAGTATAGAGCCCTGCAACACGCCTCTACTGATATCAATCGTCACTTAAACTTCACTCCTTGTAGCCCGACTCTATGCCCTGCAAACCATGCAATGGGGTTTAAGGTTGTTAAAACTCATCTTTCAAAAAATTATAGTATATAATCTACTATGGATGGAATGTAAACAAAAATATTGAATGGTGTATCTTCCAAAATTTATTATTTTTTTATTATTGGAACACTACAAATAGCTTGCTAAAATGTGGAACAATAACAATAAACTCATCTTAGCCTGTCATAGGCTTAGATTAGCCTTCCGAGGCCTAAATATGCAATCCCAATCCCAATAAATGTCACCCTAGGCCTAATTTAATACATAGACGTCTTTTCCTAGGCCTAAGAAAGTTCAGGTTTACTTGTTTTCTTCAATCTAGAGCCCTCAAAAATCATTAAACATTATTAAACATTAAATCATTAAACATTATTAAACATTAAATCATTAAACATTATTAAACATTAAATCATTAAACATTATTAAACATTAAATCATTAAACATTATTAAACATTAAATCATTAAACATTATTAAACATTAAATCATTAAACATTATTAAACATTATCCCTTTTAGCTGGTGAAACAGCTGACTCTATTTCTATCGTCGGTCTCTATGGTCGATGGACGTGGTCCATCGACCCTTTGGCGGGGGAAACCGTGTCGAAAACCTTGCTGGTGTCTCATACATCACGTTGCTATTGTTTAAAAGAAAACACCTTAGCAATAAAATCCCAATAACGTGATATATTAGTTGAGAAAATCGTTGGATCAGGATGGAGATCGAGTCAGCACCCTGGGAAACCTTTATCATGTTATGGTTCAGTGTTGGGGCACTCGTCTAGGTGTACCCAGGATGCTGCATGGGTTCGATCCCATGCAATCATTGTGGCAGGTTCCCCATCCTGACACAGTGACTTTTCTCACGTTTTCAGTTGTTGTCGGCGAGGAGTCACAATAACGTGGCTAAATTATGTTGACCAGACCACATACTAGAAGGTGAAGGGACGACGACGTTTCTTTCCGTCCTGGACCATTCTCAAGTCGATTGTGACTTGAGAATGGTCCAGGACGGACCGAAACGTCGTCGTCCCTTCACCTTCTAGTGTGTGGTCTGGTCAACAGTTGTTGTCAATTGCCTCGGATATCCTTGAATGACAGGATAGTCAATTGGTGAGGCAGGAACGAGCACTTCTTAACCCGTCGGGTGACTTTCCAACTTGTAGTTTTCTAGGTGATTTCTGATAGATTCTGCAGTTATTGCTTCCAGGAACTTTCTCACAATCGCTGTCAAGCTTAATGGTTGACAGATCACAGTAAGAGTGATATTTTCTCTCTTGACTTATGTGACCACGTTAATTACCCTCAAGGCTGTACAGGGAAACAATCTTTAAGATTGATATAACAAATAATCGCGTTAGATGGACCAATGAGCCCGTCCTTGCATTCTTTTAATTTAACTCTATCAATCTGCTGAAGTAAATCCTTATTATTAATCTGCTTGTCATATAGTTTTTTTTTTTATCAACATCTACGTTTATCACTTCCGCGTTGGGTAAATGTTATTTTTACTTGTAAGAAATGTTTTTTTTTAAATTCATATTTTCCTCTCTTTTTTCAGTTTCTTTCTTCCTCATTATTCCCCATCATACCATATCACGGTTGTTTTTTTTTGGACAGGATTGTAATTTTGTTTTGTTTTGGGGCTGATTGTCCAGAACACAGAAAGGTGTTCTGTGTTCTTGAGTAATACATCAGCAGTCCTTTTTATTTGATAATAAATAATGAAGTCGATTTTTTGGTTTAGGGACTGTTGGTTAACTCTATTTGAAATGACCTTTTTTGAGTAGTCTTTCTTCTGTTTATATTCAGTTCTTCCCAAGGGGCAGTGAATGAAGCCATTTTGGTTTCATTTTGATTACGAAGCCTACGTAATCTCCAGGAGATTACGTAGGGTAGACTCTGGGACATCTACCTTAGCAGTAGAGTTGTCACGGTGGACTCTGCTTAACATTAAATTGATATAGAATCCCTATTTACGTTCGCATATAGCGAATCCATTTCTATTTACGAACGTCCCTGTGGACAACACTATCACTATAATGTTGATAGATATAATGTTGAATAATTAACGTTGATGGTGGAGTCCTAACTTATCCAAACCTAACCTAACGAATAGGTCTCTTCTGTCCATTAGGTTAAGTTAGTTTAGGTTAGATTAAGTTTGTTTATAGATCACCTGTGGCGTAACCTATTGGGCACAATATCCAAGAATATCATTGAATCAACGTCGTTTCACCAATAAATCGACGGATATTGCGTGGATATTGAGTGGATATTGTACCCACTGGGGAGGGATATACACACAAACTCGTTTGTCAGGTCTTAGACCCTACTCCCCACTGTTGTTAGCGATAATAGTGTACAGGCACGACAAGCAGGGAGAGCATAGTGCTACAGAGGTATGGAGTGGGTCGGTTGCTCCATTACTAGCAACTGGAGAGTTGATAATTATTGATAATTAAAAGCACCTTGATAATTATTGTACATCAGTGGGGCAATACATGCTTGAGAGACGTATAATCAACGCAGGATCAACGTATAATTAACGTTGATTCATTGTCACTTCAACGTCATTTGCACAGATGGAATGAATTAATTTCAACATTCTGCGTCACTCACTCTTGCCTGCGTCACTCACTCACTTTCACTTGTGTCATTCACACCTGCGTCAATCACTCCTACCTACGTTATTCATTAGTGTGTCACTGGAGACTTCTGTGTCAACCACTCTTGCGTCAATTACTCTTACTTGCTTCACTCACTAGTTCCTGCGTCCCTCTTACCTGTGTTCCTGTACCCTCTGGTACACCATGTGTACTTCTGTACCCTTTGGTACACAGCTTCCATGACCTCTATAGTACTGTAGCCTCGGCTGCAGATACACCATGTTTTTGTATTGCTGTATTCTCTAGTAGCCATGGCCACTGTACTGCTGTGCTATATATATATATATATATATATATATATATATATATATATATATATATATATATATATATATATATATATATATATATATATATATATATTATATATATATATATATATATATATATATATATATTGCACTTGTCTTTTCGTAAATATTTTTTATTGATTTCTATTTCTCCAATTTCGTGCTCAAATTTAATATTTTATTTTTTTTAATTATTTTCTTGTCCTCCTGGGAGAGGAATCTCCATGGTAGGAACATTAATAATAATGTATATAGTTTTATGTAACATATTTGTTTTAATATAAAGGAAAATATGAATATGTTGTGCAATATTATGCACTTAGTAGATGTTTAGTGGCCTATATTGTAATGAATTTTATTAATATTTAATGTTGTGGCCTTCAATTTAGTTCTATGCAATATAATTGTAACAATGAAACATTTAAAGTCTAACTTCATTTGAAAATCTAGTGTTAAGATATGCAATTTTTATCCATCTTTTCTTCACAGTAATGACGACTTTTCAGAACACTAATCATATGTTCAGTGTAGTATAGTTTCATTGTCCCAATGATAACAGTGAATGTGGTGATGGTAAGTTACTCTATCACATGTAAACAAAGCATTTTCCTCCTTGCATATACACAAAAAGTGGTCGTAAGACCTGAGATGCTAGTTATTATTCCCTTCCAAGAACTCCACCAATCTTCACCTCCAAGATTTTCCCCCTTCCCAAATGCTAAATAGCAGTAGAGGTATTCAGGTGTGCTGTCTCCTGCTTTCTCAAAAAAATGGGTGGCAAACAATAAAGATATTTAGGTATTCTTCCGGCCCTAACTGACAGACTGACAACAAAGGTCTTGTTGATATATCTCTCCCGCTTTTTCCCAAAAAGCCTCTGACTAACAACACAGGTGTTTAGGTGATATATATCTCCCGCTTTCTCCCTAAAAGCCAGACTAACAACACAGGTGTTTAGGTGATATATATCTCCCGCTTTCTCCCCAAAAGCCAGACTAACAACACAGGTGTTTAGGTGATATATATCTCCCGCTTTCTCCCTAAAAGCCAGACTAACAACACAGGTGTTTAGGTGATATATATCTCCCGCTTTCTCCCTAAAAGCCAGACTAACAACACAGGTGTTTAGGTGATATATATCTCCCGCTTTCTCCCTAAAAGCCAGACTAACAACACAGGTGTTTAGGTGATATATATCTCCCGCTTTCTCCCGGCTTCGATCTGATGCACGAACAACAGCCACTGACAACACTCAACCTCTCTTTCCCAGCGCGCACAGGAACTACAGGCGAGTCTGACTAAATCAGGAGAAGATGGAGGAGGAGGAGGAGGTGGTGGAGACTATGTAGAACGGGATAATAAGAGAAGTAGAGGAGTAGGAGAAGGAGTAGCGTGATATAAGGTGGCACTCTATAGGTCTCTGGGACCAATCACACTATGACACGCTGCTGCATCGCTCTCTCACTCGCCTTGACTTATCGATGTTTTTTTGTGTATTTTTTTTTATGTGTGTGTTGCCTCGCTTGCTTTGTTTTGAATGTGGATGTAAACAACAGCTGTTAGACATGCTGTGTATATGGTGACTGATCTCTCTCCTCTTCAGCTACTGCAGCTCACAGCATATACTCTGAGGCAGACACTCATGGCTTAAAAGCACACACTTCGCCCTGCTAGTATAATTTTCTTCCAGCAATTCTGTAGCTTCTTAAAAAAAAAAATCAAACCACCTTCCCGTGACAGGATCGCAGCTAAGCTGTTTTAGGACTGTCATGCTAATGTTTGATTCTATAATATCTTTGACATTTTCAGTGAGAGGAGGGGAACTACGCTATTTAACTCAGTGTTTTACCTACCCCCGAAACAGAAGGCACGCTTAGCCCGCATCCGGATCGCTAAGGCGTCTTCTGGAGCGGCCTTTGTCACCAAGAAGAAGGCGGCGGAGGCGAGGCTGGCGGCGCAGGAGAGCGGCCTTGAGATGGACGAGTTTACCAAAGAAGAAGACATCTTCGAGATGCAGCATCATCACCTGCTCCGGTGTCTAGAGAAGACGACGGTCAGTTAATACTACACTCGCCATCCACTGCTTTTTAATCCGCTTGAATATTATTTTTTTTGCATGTTGGTTCGTACATATTAAGGATGGAATTGCTGCATTTTTTCTTGTATAGAAAGGGGGGGGGTGATTCTCACCTCGAAAGGAAAAAAAAGGTACTTGTTAGTGGGGATATAAACAGCGTGGGTAAACAATGCAAGAAAGAGTATACTCGGTGAACAAAATCTACTAAAATCTACGTTATAATCTACCAAAATCTTTGAGAGGAGTAATTAACATTTGATTTGCTAACTAAAAAAAATACTTGCCATGTTTATGAAAAGTATTATTCGCCAAAATTTCGTCTCTCAAATAAATTCAATTTAAATAATTCCCAATTACGTAATTAACGTCTCTAAATATATATTTATATTTTTATTTTGAAACAAATCATCTGACCTGTAGCAGCAACAGTTACGATAGATTCTCTGGATAGCCACAGATTGACTAATCTTTGATTGATTTGATTGATTCATTGATTTGAAGACACGTTCTTGAAGACAAAAGCTTCCTTACGGGTAAGCTAAACTGAAATACTAATCAAGGAGAGTGATAATAGCTATAAGCAATATAATTAATGCTGACAGCTCGGTTATTAAATCTGTCAGTGACATGATGAGAGCTGTCAATACCACGATGAGATCTGTCAGTACCATGATGAGATCTGTCAGTGCCATAATGAGATCTGTCAGAACCCTGATGAGATCTGTCAGTACCATGATGAGATCTGTCAGTACCATGATGAGATCTGTCAGTACCATGATGAGATCTGTCAGTACCATGATGAGATCTGTCAGTACCATGATGAGATCTGTCAGTACCATGATGAGATCTGTCAGTACCATGATGAGATCTGTCAGTACCAAGATGAGATCTGTCAGTACCATGATGAGATCTGTCAGTACCATGATGAGATCTGTCAGTACCATGATGAGATCTGTCAGTACCATGATGAGATCTGTCAGTGTCATGATGAGATCTGTCAGTACCATGATGAGAGTCCAAGATGTCAGTACAATGATGAGATCTGTCAGTACCATGATGAGATCTGTCAGTACTGATGAGATCTGTCAGTACCATGATGAGATCTGTCAGTACCATGATGAGATCTGTCAGTACCATGATGAGATCTGTCAGTACCATGATGAGATCTGTCAGTACCATGATGAGATCTGTCAGTACCATGATGAGATCTGTCAGTACCATGATGAGATCTGTCAGTACCATGATGAGATCTGTCAGTACCATGATGAGATCTGTCAGTACCAAGATGAGAGCTGTCAGTACAATGATGAGATCTGTCAATACCAACAAATCAATCACGCTTTTAAAATTTCGACTTACTCAAAGAATTATTTAACACATTTCCCTTCTGTTTATATGTCTATGTTCTTGTTATGTTGTTCTGTGGCTTAGGAGAACAACCAAACATTGAAGAACACGCTGCCCCATATTTGAATAAACATGTATTTTAAATATTTAGAATTTATTTTATAAGTTGTTGGTTGTAAAAGGCTTTCATTAGACAACTTCACTTTCAATTATGAAGGAATTAATTTTGGAAATATAATCATCAAAAAATCACTTTTATTCTTAAACCTAATTTGATTTTGAAGAGATACGATTCTGTTTATACAATTAAGACGATTTTAGGAGCAAAACCATTTGTTCTGTCTCTTGAAAAACGATTCCATAGTTGATTTAAGCAAATTGAACCTGACTTTTGGATGCTAAAGTTATCATTTCAAAGACCATTCACTCATGGTTATTTTAGTGGTCAATAATGTGGTACATATATTGACCGCCTCTACCGGTCAATAGGCACCCGACCCCAGGGGTTTCTACACGGTTGTATTGCTCACTCGCTATCCGGTTTTGTACGTGTTGTATGAGCGGTTATAGGCATTGTTGTTGTATTTTGTATTTGGGCCCAAGACTGACGAGTTAAGAGAAAACAAAAGCGCTATTACTGGCGTATCGTAGATTCTTCGTAGATTCATCGTAGATTCATCGTAGATTCGTCGTAGATTCATCGTAGATTCGTCTTAAAGACAACACAACGTTAACAAACAAAAAAGATGTATCCGACGTATATCTACTTAGGGAAATAAATATATTATTATTATATTTATAAATATAAATATATTACTACTTAATAAATATATTATTTATTACTTATATTTATACTTTTAATATTACCACTGAAAGTGTTCAACTAAGCTAAAGGAAAGTTTTTGATAATTGTTTCTAGTTTGAGAGGAGTGATGCTGCTTCGTCTGACGACCAGGTAACGCAGGAATTATCGTACTCTCTCTCTCTCTTTCTCTCTCTCTCTCTTTTTCTCTTTCTGTCTCACCTCAGCGTGCTTGAGCGCACATTAGAGCCCAACATAAGTGCCCCTTCAGGCAGCGCTTGTCCTCACTGCTGTATGGTAGCACCACCTCCCTTCCCCCCCTTCTCTGAGAAGGACCAAAAAATGCTTAATCCGCTATTATTTTGACTTTGTAAGCGGGATACATAAATCCCGTTCCAGAGGATTACTTGACAAAACTGTATTGTTGGGTATTATTAGTGTTGAGAATCCCACACACACACACACACACACACACACACACACACACACACACACACACACACACACACACACACACACACACACACACAACATCCCCCGCCGCGTAGTTTTGACTGTTTTAACGGTGTTAGAACGGTGCTCGAGGCAGGGATAATGCCGTTGTGGGCATTGCGGTGGTCAAAGGTGCATTTAGAGGTGGAATTAGTGCTAACGTAGAGCGTTTGTTCTAACGTTCGCGAGAGGAGTTAGTACACTTTCCTAGGTGTAGTACTGGCTGAGTGGGGTCATTCAGGGATGATAGTGACAGGTGGACCTCTCTTTTTCTGCCTTTTACAAAGCTTTTTTTTTTTTTATATTTTTCTTTCTACTCCACTCTTGTTTAGTTTCCCCCCCCCTTGGCGAACTCCGTTTTCTTGTCCTCTTTCCACCACCCCTATTCCCTTTTATCTCCCATATCTTCTTCTCTTCCTACACTCTGACTTTCCCGTCTATTCTCTCTCTCTCTCTCTCTCTCTCTCTCTCTCTCTCTCTCTCTCTCTCTCTCTCTCTCTCTCTCTCTCTCTCTCTCTCTCTCTCTCTCTCTCTCTCTCTCTCTCTCTCTCTCTCTCTCACACCACCAGACATTAACCACCATCACTCTAAGTGGTAAGAGCCGAAAAAGGATTATTCATGGTTCCTAATGGCTATATTTCAATGACTATTTGAGAGGGGGAATTATCAAAGAAAAAACGCCAAGCCATTACGACTATATAACACTGGGAAGGGATCAGGATAAGGATTTGGGATTGGGGGGGGGGGAAGGAATGGTGGCCCAACCACTTGTGGACGGTCGGGGATTGAACGCCGACCTGCATGAAGCGAGGCCGTCGCTTTACCGACCAGCCCAAGTGGTTGGGGATTTAGATGTAGCCGTAGTTGGAATAGTAGAATTTACAGTAGTATTAGTTGCAGAGATAATAGTAATTGTGGTAGCTGATGTGGTAGTTTAAGTAGGGTTGTTGTTGTTGTCGTTAATTAACGTAGTTTTATACAGAGCTGTATGAACAGTTGTGTGGTTGAGGGGTATAGTGGTAGCATTAACTGGTGTGTAGTTGTAGTAGTTGGTTGTAATAATTGTAGAAGAGGTAGTATGAGCAACAAGTGGTTGTGGTGACGAACGTCGCGAAAACGTCGCGAAAACGTCGCGAAAACGTCGCGAAAACGTCGCTGTATTTCCTATAATGTATCCACTGAAGCTTTTTATTTTTAAATATTACGGGGGAATGCCACAGTGGACTACAGCGCGTCTGGGAACACTCACTCGCACGGGTTCGAAACCCCTCAATCAAGGCCCAATGTGGATTTGTTCTTGAATAAATCACGTTATTGTAATTTCTCTGTGAATTACGAGGAATAATATATTTTAATTTTATACTTAATTTTATTTTTCGGGGGAGCAATATAGAGCTACAGATATCTACGGATATCGACTCCGTAGATATCATATCTACGGATATCGACTCCGTAGATATCATAATTACCTTTTATCTACTCATTATATGTTACGAAGGATTTATTAACCATTATTTATTGCGTGGGGAAGTTAATTAACCTTGGCCAACAGGACAATTGTTTGGTTTTAAATTAATGAAAAGTTACAGGTAAGTTTTTGTTTGGGGAAAGTTGTTTAGGTCAGATATACCGAGTGCTGTTGCTTGGAAGGTGGTAGACGCGGCTTCCTTGTTTACGGTGTATCTACTCCTATAAGTAGTCTCCTGAGACTCGTAGAGACTTACTACCTCTGCTACTACTACTACTCCTTTTGTGTGTAGGTTATTGATGTTCTATAATGTGTGTGTGTGTGTACTCACCTAATTGTACTCACCTAATTGTGCTTGCGGGGGTTGAGCTCTGGCTCTTTGGTCCCGCCTCTCAGCCGTCAATCAACAGGTGAGAGATGTGTGTGTGTGTGTGTGTGTGTGTGTGTGTGTGTGTGTGTGTGTGTGTGTGTGTGTGTGTGTGTGTGTGTGTGTGTGTGTGTGTGTGTGTGTGTGTGTGTGTGTGTGTGTATATTTACTATTTGTGTCTGCTGAATCGAGCTATTAGCTCTTGGATCCCGCCTTTCTAACCAATCTATTTTCCTCTGTTATATCTGCTACATATAATTCTTTCTAATGCACCACACACACACACACATCCACTGGAAGCAGCCAGTAGCAGCTGTCTAACTCCCAGGTACCTATTTACTGCTAGGTGAACAGGTCAATCAGGGTGTAAGGAACTCCCCGTTTGTTTCCGCATCCGCCGGGAAACGAACTCGGGACTACGATCCCCAAGCGCTGTCCACTCAGCCATGAAGCCCCCCCGTGTGTGTACTCACCTATTTGTGCCTGCAGGATCGAACCTTGACTCTTGGATCCCGCCTTTCTAGCATTCTGTTGTTT